ACTTCTTGGAATCTTGATGTTATTCCTCTGTTGATGAAACTCAGGGGGATAACATCAAGGTCCTGAGACATGATGATACCTCATTGTACTGCACTAGTGAGGCCATGCTTGAAATGCTGCATATAGTTCTAGTCACCATGATACAAAAAAGATGCTGAGACCCTAGAAAGTGTGCAAATAGTAACAAAGATAATAAAGGGTTTGGAGGCTAAATTGTATCATGAATGGGTGAGGGAACTAGGTGTGCCTAGCCCTAGGCTATCAAAGAGAAGGTTTGGAGGGAAGGGCATGATAACTATCTTCTGGTACTTGAGGATCTGTCACAGAGAAAAGGGGATTAACTTATTATTCAAAGCACCAGGGGCAGGACAAGAAATAATGGGTGGAAGTTTGTTAAAGAGAGACTGAATCTAGAAATAAGAATTTTTCTGACAGAGAACAATTAATCAATGGAACAGCTTGACTCCCAGAGTTGTGGGTGCTCCATCACTGGAGGTTTCCAAGAGTATACTGTACAACCATTTGACTGGGATTGTATAAAATCTCCTGACTTGGGTCCGGGGTTGGAATAGAAGACTTCAAAGGTCTCTTCCAACCCCATGATTATATGTTCTATTCACACCAACAGAAATTAGCCTAGAACAGGGGTGTCAAACTGCCGGACGTGCCACGACGAAATCGCGCCCACCCCATTGCCGGCAATGGGGAAAAAGCTCCAATACGTTGCGCGACATCATGTAACGTCGCGAGTTTGACATGTCTGCCCTAGAACATACTTCTGGCTATTATACAGCCCAATAAACATACTCCAGTAAGTTAAAGTTACTAAACTAAATGGCTTGAACTAAAAATCTAAACACTTAGTGGTTAGGTAGATTTCAACAGCCAATATGATTTATTTTCTAAGGGCTGTGAAATAGATAAAATAAATAGGTCAATCAAGCTAGAATCATCAAGTACCGTATTTAAATGCCTCATACTGGTTTATGTAACATTTACTTAGAATGTTCTTATAAAACATTTTTTAAAATGAAAGTTCGGGTTCACCACACATAGAATTTCAGGTTTATCTGAGATTTTATACAACCAATTCAATATGAGAAAGTCAGTATGGAATTAGATACTTCTCATTTATCTAACAGACCACACATATTATTCTTCTGCTGGCCTTATGTCAATCTCCAAGGGAAATTGTACATGGAAGATACAGCTAGAGCAGACACTGCTATATAGTAGTGACTTCAAAGAAAAAGCAGCTCATACCAGCACTCAACTTCTCATTTATATCATAACCGTTTATGTGTATTTTTCTTTAGGATACTACAAGTAAACATGTCTATTCCTCTTGGAAAAGAAATCATGCCAGATGCCTGGAGCAACATGGCCATATCTTCTGTTCAAGACATAAAGACAGTATCTTCTACTGCTGTAGACCTACTACTGTATTACAATTGAAAAGGATCAGGATATCTGGGCAATTATCTATTTATCTCTTGCCAAGTCAAAACTGAAAACATCCCTGAATGCCATTAAGCAGTCTTTCCAAACCAGCCATCTTCCAGGACTTTGAATTCCCGGTGTGAGAATTGTCAGAATTCCCAGTCAAAGACTTTTCTTGCTGGGAAATGCTGAGCACTGCAGTTCTCACACATCTGGAAAGGAGCCAGGTTGGGGAAAGATTCCTTTGGCCATGCAAGAAGGCACTTCCAGCAATCTTACAAATGTCAACAGCAGGCCAATTATAAATACTGCAGCCTCCATGAAAACAACAACTACATCACTGTGCTAAATCAGATCTTAAGGAAAGAGTTTCCATCAATCACTCCAAGTAGGCAACGGAGGAGCCGTTTAGCTGTCTACCTTGCCAAAACTGCTATACATATATAGTAAAATAAAATTTCCCTTTCACCCTTATGGGTGTTCTGTGTATATAAAAACAGATACATGAAGAACATTAGACTAGCATTCTAAAAGGCCAAATCCAAGATACCAATGAGTTGGAAATATAACAAGAAATGAAATGAACAACAGAATCAATGACTATTTAGTCGGCACATAATACATCGTTTCTTTTAGCTCATGTAGAACACAAGGGCTATCATGCATTAGCTTCCTCCAGAGGTCAGACTAACACCAACCTCCTGTAAGTTCTCATCTAGCCTTAGCATGAAAGCCAGCTGGGTGACTTTAGGCCAGTCATCATCTCCTTCAGCCCAACTCACCTCAAAGGGTTGTTGCTGTAGGGAAAATAGGAGGAGGAAGGAGTATTAGGGATGTTTGCTCCTTGAGTTACTTATACAGTAATAAAGGCGAGATAAAAATCTAGTAAATAAATAAAATAACCTTGGGTGCCCTTCCCAAAAAGCTGCCAAGGTGGTATTGTTCTGCAGGGCTCTGGAGGTTGAAGTTGTACAAAAGGGGTTGATGTCATCAAAGTCCAAAGTTTTAATCTTGCTCAATTTATTTTTTATGTTAAACCTGTATTGTAGTCTTTAAAAAAGTGTGCATGTGCGTGTGTGCGTCTGCACACGTGCATGTGTGCAGTCATTTTTGATTGATTTTGGCCCCCTGCTCCTATGGACAACCTAGGCCAATATGATCCTGTGACAAAACTATTTTAGAAAGTTTATTTAAAAATAGAGGGACACATAAATATGGCTGTTTTAGGGAGTAGAATTCTTCCTCATCCTTCCAATATCTTCACCACCATATATTATGTGTGACACATACAAGCACATGACAGCTGTTTTCTCTGCCATTCCCACTCTGGCCATGTCTCCCTCTGCATCCTATCATGGGACAAACAGATCTCTCTCCCTCCCTCTCCCTCCCTCCCTCTCTGTCTCTCTCTGTCTTTCTGCCTGTCTCCTCATAAAGTTACCTTCATCTCAACTCCAGTCATGAGTGAAACAGACATAAGCCATTCTTAACTGTACAGGTTGTCATTAAATATTATTCTTCCTCTTATTCCAACATCGCCTAAAGGCAGCCTTGACGCGAATAAAATATGTTTTGTCTCCTATTATCTTGGAAGAAAGTGAGTAACTAGAATTGGCTTGGAAGACAGCAATAAGAATAGGATAGGAATTGGCAAGAGAGACAGTTTCATGCTGACACCCTACCAAGGAGAAGTGGAGGCCTGTAACTCAGAAAAAAAGGAACTTTTTTCTAAACACATCCTCTGGTTTGCCCTTCTATCTTCCACCTCCAGCAGTAATGACCAGGGGGCATCAAAAAAGTTAAGATGGTAGCCCCAACCGTCTAATCAAATCCCACCCCCTTTTTTTACAAGCACCATCTTGACCTTTTTTTGATGGCCACCATGTTGATTTTTTGGCACTTTTGTGCCAATTTTCTTGTCTTGCCTTTACAGTTGCAACTTTACCCTAACCATTATCCTTACTGACAATCCAAATATAATGTTCATGCATGCCCAAGGCATTTAATACACCGAAGTAGCCAGTCATCTTGATAAAACAAGTTTTTAAGAAGGGTACCCTTACTGTTCCTGAAGTACAGATGAGGGGCTGGGAGGCCAAGGATTGCGACCAAATTGAATTCAAGATTCCAATGAAATTGAACCTTCTCATAAAGAACTTGGGGTGGGTCTGTAGAAGAGATTTTGTGTGTGCCCATCTTTCCTTGCTCACTGATTTACAGAGCATCCAGACGATATAACATCATCCACCTGTGACCCTGCAGCAAGAGCACTGCAAATAAAACAAGATCCTACTGGCTTTCCAGTAACAAGGGATCAAGCTGTAGAGCTTTCCCCCTTGTATGCTCACTGCTCTGGATGGGAAGGGGTATGTGCACCGGTTCTGTTATGTCAGTGATGGCGAACCTTTTAGAGACCGAGTGCCCAAACTGCAACCCAAAACCCACTTATGCATCGTCGGGTGCCGGGTGGGTGTGGCCCATTGGGTGGGCGTGGCCCATTGGGTGGGCGTGGCTGCGGTGTTAACAGCAGACTGGGTGGGACTAAAAAGTTTAATGAATCCAATTCCAACTTTGCAAGATCTTTTTTTTCCCCGCAAGAAGTTGAAATTGATTGATTGATTGAATGAACCTTTTTTTTTTTTGCACACGGCAGCGGAGGCCTAAAGCAAAAAGGTTTTATAAAACCCAGCTGAAGACCTAGGACTGGGGCGACGGCGTGTGTGCCCACAGAGAAGGCTCTGAGTGCCGCCTCTGGCACCCATGCCATAGGTTCGCCACCACTGTGTTATGTATTGAGGTTAAATTTACTCGGAAACTGTTGGAAATGGCCAAAGGGTTGTACCTGTTTAAGCTCCAGACTGACTGTCTACATGTTAATTAGCTTGCCTTTTAAGAGGGAAATACTGCTTTAATTCTATTGGCTGCCGCCTAGTGGTGAGCTGTATAAATAGCGGTTAAGCTAGCAGTTAGAGCTGCTTCAGTTTTGACCTAAAAGAGTTGTTGCTGCAACCTTCTGCTTAGGACGGTGTTTCTCAACCTTGGCTACTTGAAGACGTCAGGACTTCAACTCCCAAAATTCCCCAGCCAGCAATTCTGGGAGTTGAAGTCCACATGCCTTAAAATTGTCAAGGTTGAGAAACACTGGTCTACATGTTAATTAGCTTGCCTTTTAAGAGGGAAATACTGCTTTAATTCTATTGGCTGCCGCCTAGTGGTGAGCTGTATAAATAGTGGTTAAGCTAGCAGTTAGAGCTGCTTTAGTTTTGACCTAAAAGAGTTGTTGCTGCAACCTTCTGCTTAGGACAGTGTTTCTCAACCTTGGCTACTTGAAGACGTCAGGCTGGCTGGGGAATTCTGGGAGTTGAAGTCCAGACGTCTTCAAGTGGCCAAGGTTGAGAAACACTGGCTTAGGATCACCACTTTCGATAGCTGTCTGGCAGGCAGAATTTCAACAGATGAAGCTGCACCCGGTCCTTAGATCCCACGGCCTGTTGCATTTCCCCCTGCCCACCGGTCCTTGAAGCCGGCAGAGCCAGCTCATCCCCCCAGCCTGCCCTTACCGGCGAAGTTCTTGGTGAAGACCAGCGTGACCAGGACAATCGGGATGAGGACGGTGCCGATGGTGACCACGCGGTCAAAAGGGAGCTCGAGCTTCAGCTGCACGAGGAGCGCGGCCAGCGAGCCCGTCTTGTCGTCCTGCTGCCCGGGCAGGATCAGCTCCTTAAGTTTCTCCCCAGCCAGCAGCGCCGTTGCCATGTCCGGATGGTTTTCGATGATGTGTTGCATAAGCGGCGGCGGGCAGGAGGGCGCTCACCGGGCTCCAGTGGCCTCGCCGGAGAAGATCCAGAGCCCGAGGTGGGCTCAGCCTGCGGGGAGGAGACCAATGAATGCACCCCGGGCAGGCCGAGGCGGGCGGCGGAGGACGCGGGCCGGGGAGCCACCATATTCTCTGCAAGACAGGCAGGGTCTCTACCCGAGACTGCGGCACCCAGGCCGGGAGGCTGCCTGCGCGCGATCGGAAAGCCTACACACCCCGCCTTTTCCCCGGACCGGAGGCAACGGCAGCTGCAAAGCCCGGGCTACACACAGGAAGGCTCTGCTGCAACCAACGCGAGCAGATGGAACTGTGGGGGAAATGCCACCGGCGTCCAAAAACAACAACAAAAAAAACCCCACCACCACCACCCCCCTCACAATTGAGAGGAAGAGATTTAAAAACCGGCTCCAAGCGGAAGCACAAGCGCGGGTGTTTTGCTGGGGCGTGTAAAAAGACCCACGGGGCGCGAGCGGTAAGAAAGCAAAAAAAAAAGGCTTACTGCGGAACTAGAGTGGGTCCTGGTTTTTTTTTTACCTGGTGAAGTTGTGGAGCGGGGCAGGAGGGAAGGCTCTCTTCCCCGTCCACGGAGGGAGCGAAAGGCTGGCGCGCGAAAGCAAAGGTAGGCATGAAAATTATTGATGCTGCGGCAGGAGAAGGAGAAGGAGAAAAAAAAAAGCGCCGGCCTGGAATTTCCTCCCGGTCCAAAAGGGAGCCTGTCCCCACCCAGCCTGGAACTGCTTTCCCCCCTCCTCGGCTTAAACAAACAAACAAACAAAACAACCCTATGAGGACGGCCGATTTCTTTGGGCTCAGTTATGTCGGCGCAGGCACGGAATGTTCCCCCTCGGAGCCCAGCCAGGCAGGGAGGCTGCTGCAGCCGCCGCGGCGCATGTGGCGGAAGGACGCCCGGAAGCCCCGGCAGACGGTGGCGAGAGGTCCTTTAAGGTCTTCGCGTCCACATCTGGAATTCGCAGCGCCTGGCAGCCGCGGGAGGCGGGGCTGGCAGCTTTGCGCCGGGCCAGGCGGGAGAACCAACCGGGAGGGGGCGGGCAGTGGCCGCCGGCATCGCAGCAGAAGCTGCCGAGTCACTCAACGCAACCCGTTGCGACCGGCGGGACGGCAATGAAAGGTCGGGCCCGGTCCTCGGTCTGGGGCTGCGGCTACTACGGCGGTGGCCAAGCGCTTTCCTCAAAAGCGTTCATTGCCATCCTCACGACCTGCCTCTCGCGGCCCCCCTCCCCCCGATTTTGGAAGCAGGAAAAAAAAGGCGGGGATGCGGGGGACGGAAGGGAAATGCAGCCACCGGCGGCGGT